ATTCATTTATTTATTTATTTATTACATGCCCGCTGGGAGCATGTTGAACCAACGTGAAACATCAGAACCAAACATAACAAATCAAACAATCAATTGAATGTTTAAAAAAGTAGTAATAATAGCAATTAAAGGGAGAGGCAGTGTATCGTGAGGTAGATAAAACTTCGAATAACAACACAAAAGTGAAGAGAAGAAAAGGAGAATGGAACCAGTGCGATGAGGAGTCAGTGAGCAAACTAGCTGAACTTCTTGAGGAAACGCGAGATTTCTTGTTTGAAGCGGGAGAGCTTTATAGGCAAACGAATGCTCTTGCATAACTTAGAGTACTCAGAACCAGCACGCTGAGTGAAGAAGTGGCTACGAAGCGAAGACCTGGCGATGTTGAGGCAGAATTTTGCTAGGCTCACCTCTAGTAGATGAAACAGAAAAAGAAAATAGCTTATTGGCTGCAAATGCCATTGACCCATGGACGATTTTGAAGACGGTGATCAGGTCGTTCTTTAACCTCCGTTTAGAAAGAGAATCCAGATTAAGCATTTTATTTCGAATAATGGCCCGTGGGATACTGTTGTAAGTGTACCCTAACGCTCTTATAAAAACTTTCCTAGTGAAACTATTTTGCACACGTTCAATAGCCTGGATGATTTTTTTCTTGTATGGAAAGAAAATACTTGTCCCATATTCGAGAATAGGTCTGACATACATCTTATAAGCCTTGATCAAAACGGAGGGATCTTTACTACTAAGCGCCTTCAGCAACAGAAATAGTCTTTGCTCCGCTTTAGCAGCAATTTTAAGGCAATGGGCGAAGCTGAGCTTGCGGTTAACAGTAAATCCTAAGTCCTTTATTTCAGAAACTTCATCAATAGGGGATCGTGAAATAAAATACTTATTCTTGGGATTGTTTCTACCGAGATACAATGTTTTGGTTTTCTCACAACAGATAGGCAGATTCCATCTGACAGACCAAGCGTAAACAATATCAACGGCCTTTTGAATAGCAGAGCAGTCATGTGAAGATGTAACTGCCCTGTAGATCTTGATGTCATCGGCAAACATCTGACAAATAACCCCCTCGCTTTGGACCAGCAAGGGTAGATCGAATGTGTAAATATTGAAAAGAACAGGGGATAAAACCCCACCCTGCGGAACCCCACTAGTGGCGTGCCTAACTGCAGAGAGGCAGTCATTAATTCTAACTTGAAATGTGCGACCAGTTAGAAAAGCTTGAATCCACCGTATAATACTACTGTGAACACCTACACACTCTAACGTGAACACCTACACACTCTAACCTACGGAGCAGCTTACTATGACAAACTTTGTCAAAAGCTTTTGAAAAGTCAAAATAGACAACATCAACATTAGAATCGAGATCAAGAGCACATGTCCAGTCATTGAGGGACAAGAGCATCTGAGATATGGTAGACCTACCCGTTCTGAACCCATGTTGGGCCTCTGATAAGACAGAGTTGGCTTCAAGATGTTTGACAATTACATCCTTGATTATTTTCTCGAACAATCTACTGAAGATTGATGTGATGCTTATTGGCCTATAATTATCTGGTCTGTCATGAGGAGGCTTTTTGGGAAGCGGAGAGACATAAGAGTGCTTCCACCTCAGTGGGACCTCAGCATAAAGCAAACTTCTATTGAACAGAAGTTCAAGGGGAGCGCTTATGTAGGGAGCAACCTTCTTTATGAAAATGAAAGGGATTTCGTCGGGAGTGCGAGAGAAGGAAGAAGGCCATTTCAGCAAGTAATTGAGAATGTCCTGACGCTTAATGGAGAACAGATTCTCGCATGCATGAACAAACAGGCGGGACCAAAGGATCTGAAGAGTCAACGGCATAAGGAACAAAAACTTTTTGGAACTCATTAGCCAACGTTTCTGCTTTATCATAATCACTAGTGGCCAGGGAGCCGTCAGCCCTGATGAGTGTGGATATTCTGTTTTTGCAATGAATTCTAGCTTTGATGTACTTGTAAAGAAAGGACTTGTTATGGGATTCAATAATATTTTTCTCAATTGCGCACCTGTACTAACGGAGACTTTTGTCAAACTTCGAGGATAAAGACTGGTAAGACTCCCAATCAGGCAGGTCATTGCTTTTTATAGCTTTGCTTATAAGCAGAAGCCTTTTTAGTAAAAAGAGAGTGCAAATGAGTAGGCAAGTTTTTCAAAGAAACCGGAACTTTTTTCAAAGGCACGAACACGTGTATGCAGTGCCTAAGAACAAACAAGAAAAGCTCATAAAAAGTTCATAAAAGTTACCCTGATCGTAGCCTATATCAGCAGTTTACTGTCAATTGCACTCCTGTTTTTTTCATATTTTCTTTGAGATGAAAAAATTGACCAAGTGACCCAAACCGGGAAATTAAGCTCGGACTGAGAGACGGAGAAATGAATCATTTACCGTCTCCTCCTATGGCTGGACCGGATCGCTTATTCATTATTTTCAATTTCACCTAACGTTACTTTCTCTGAGTACTACCGGCAGTTCTACCAGTTTTACTTAACCGTGACGTTTTGGTGCCTCGCGTAGAAAAAGTGCTCATTTTTAATCGTCGAGAGCGAAATTCTATAGTCGACGTTTAGGAGGAACCTGGAGAGAGCCCTCCTCCTGATGCTCTTCCAAGTCCACCACAATTCGATCAGACCGTGGTATGTTTTCATAGAGTTTAGCATCATTAACTCCTGATTTGAGCGATCCCGTCGTGTAATGTGTTCTATTTCAGAGTGTTGGGCAGAGAGAAGCAGGAGAGGGAAAGGTTGTTGGTGAAAAGGTATCTCGTTTCCTTTTCCCTGCGACGCTTCCGCGATTTTTCTACGGTCAACTTTCAGGAGCGTGAAGAGTTCTGGGCGTTAGGAATAGCAGAAATGAAGAAAGGACACGAGATTATTGAAACGAGATCAAAAATTGAAAGCCTCCAGAAACAGCTATTTGAAGCCACAGCTCTCCTCCAGCAGGTATTGAATGTTCATACAATTGTATGGGGTAGCTGCGCTTACAAGGAAATGTTTTCAACGAGGAAATGTTTTCAACTTCTCATCGAACTTTGACTGGAGACCGGGCACGTCGGTAGAGTCTCGAATGCTGATTGCGAATATGCAGGTAAAAAGTCCCCCAAACGAGCTCTGTGTGGTCAAGTTTGGCTGTGAATGCTGTGTTCACATGACAACAGTGCGTTTACAGCGAACTGTAACCATTCAGAACTCGTTGAGAAACCGTTTGAAGAAAAAATGCTCTGCATACTCGTAATCAGCAGTGGAGAATCTATCGGTGTATCCCAGCCTCGGTTCCAGAAGCTAGGACCCTGCGGCAGATTTGTGGAGATGTAACCGCTTTATTGGTTGACATTGCGAGCAGATCGTCATCCAAGAAAGTGACGCTAGAAGTCCTCGGAGATATTTTGAAAACGACTAAAACAGCGGTTCCATCACAATAACCGTGGTTGGCTCGGAAGCACATATAAGTCATGATTTCTTTATTCTCCCTGCGACGTTAATAACCTTTTTGGCTGCACCACCTGTCATCTGCTTAGTCTGATTTCCGTTTCCAAGTCTCATGAATCAGAATTCAGATGGAAGTCGACATGAACGAAATCCTTCGTCGAAAATCGGAATTGCTTGGTCTACCAGTTCCCAGCACGTTTGTGTGATTACACAGGATTGTTTTTTTTTCACATGTACTGCAGGCCTTTCATAGTGGACTACGTTTACGTCTTAATGTATTCGTTATTGATTTCCGAGAGAATGGAACAATTCTGCATTTCTTCCTGTGTTATACTTCCGGTTTGCTAGGATACCACCTATAGTGTCTGAGCGATCTCCGTTTCATTTTTCCATGTAAGATTGTTTCCCACCGAAAAATTGCCTCTCAGTCTCCGTGATTATTTCC